GGTGTCAGGCAGGGGACAGGTGGAGGGTGTCAGGCAGGTAACAGGTGAGGGGTGTCAGAGGACAGGTGTGTGCAGCTCCTGTGTTCTCCAAGCTGCACAGGACTCCACACTTCTCAGAAAGTGCTGCCCAGCACCAGGGGACGCAGCCTTCCTGCTCTGCTGAAGGGGTGCTGATGTCCACGTGCTGTCCCCACTGGATTCTCCCTCCTGTTCTTAGCATAAATCTCCCTCCTTTCTGGCATTTACCAGGCGGTCGGCAGGCCCACGGGGCAGTGAGGGCAAGGCTGGCCTCTGAGCTGCCTGAGCCTTTCTGGACACTGAGGAATGTCCAGGCCTAAACTCAGAGCCCTCTCCCCAAGCAGGAACCTGAAAAGAGGAGGGTCAGGCAGGGTCCAGCAGCTGCCCAGGAGTCTCAGGGAGCTGGCCTTCTCTGCCCAGATAGCACCCTACACACCTCCTCTCCGAGAGCCCCTCTGGTCCACACTCACATCTGAGCCTCGGGGGCCACGTGGTATCCATCAGGTACCCAAACTAAGTGATGCTAGGGCAAGAGGTGGGCATGCGTGGGAAGCAGGCCCAAAGCACCTCCACGAGAAGGCTCCAGACCTCAGGGCAGCAGGACAATGATCCTCAGCGGGGAACCCACAGCAGACGGACGAAGTCCTGCAGGAGAGGCACCTGCAGCTCTCCATGGGCTCTTGTCCAGGCTGGGAGGCAACCAGGCCAGGTAGTGACCACCTCTGTTGGCAGGCAGGAGTCACTCTGGAAAGCACTTCAGGGAACAGGATTTGGTCCTCAGCTTTGCAGGGCTGTGACAGTCCCCAAGCCCTTGAGCTAGGTTTTAACACATACAGAGGTCCTACTCCAAGGGCAAAGGTGGGGCCTCATCTCCAGCTGCCAGAGAAGTCCCAGGGTCACCTGTGTTCCCAGGGCCACCCAAGCCCACCCACACTTTCTCCTCTCTCCATACATCTGTGTCCTTAGGAGCTCAATGATCCTTGTGCAGAATCACAGTGCCTGTTACTCCTGGCCCAGCTGGCCAACCAGGAGAAGAACCACGGACAAGCTAAGAGGATGATCGAGAAGGCCCAGTGCCTGGGCGGATGTGAGGAGTTTTGGTACAATTTGACCCTGACTCTGGCCGACGCCGTCTTGTCCTCAGAAGACAATGGGAGAGAAGCTGCGGTGAGAAGATGCAGGGTGCAGCAGCAGCCTTGGTGCCCGGCGAGGGGCGGCTCGGTCCCTGGCCCTGCTGAGCAGCACAGCGACACCATGGCTGGTTGTCCCCAGGCTTGCCGACTATATGAGAAGCTCATAGATGCCTTCAGCAACCTCCAGAAAGACAGGCCTAACCGAGTGCACACACTGAAGTTCTTCACCGTGGACCTGGAGGCCAGGTAGAATGCCAGCTCCCACGAGGGCGCTGGCTACCTTCCTGCCTGGGCCACAATCCCTTTCTACACTCTCCAGGATCTCAAGGTCCCTGGGTTCTGCTTGCTCAGGGCCGCAGCCTGGCTTGGGGAGGTGCTGTGGGCAGAGTACGCAGGGGTGCTCCCTCCAGCTTGGGCGTGGGCTTCTCCCTGCCGCAGAAGCCTCTCTCAGGCTCAGCCAGTGGTGGTGGGCGACTGGAGCCTCCCTCTGTCTCTGAGCAGAATCATGGGCTCCACTTACTGGGTCTCTGTGAGAAGCCGCGGCTTCTGACTCACGGACCACAGCAGTGTGGATGCTCTTGGTTTTATCTGCTTCTGCTTGCTCTCCGTGCAGTGCTCACTGCAGCAGAAGGAGCTGCCCGCAGCTGTCCTGTGCATGCACCTGAGTCCCACTGGCAGTGTCCCTTCAGTCTAGTCTGAGACCTTTGGCAATGGTGTTCTGTTAACTCCTAAGTGACTTAGGGACATGTTTTTAGTTGCCAAATAGATATCATGTCTGAAGCAGGACTGTTAGTCTCACTTCATTGTGTCTGACCCAGGAATGGGACTGCATGACTTGCAGTGTGTGAGAAAGGCTGAAGGTGTTTGACCAAGTCTCCCTGTGTAGACACTGGAGAGAGAGAGCATCACCACGGTCCTGGGCTTTTGATTCTAGACAGAAACCTCAAAGCCAAATACCTGGACAGAACTATGTCCCCACAGGATCATGAGCCCTCTTTGTCCCCGCAGATGCATGAGCCCCCTCTGTCTCCACAGGAGTATGAGCCCCCTCTGTCTTCATAGGATAATGAGCCCCCTCTGTCTGTGTAGGATCATAAGCCTCCTCTGTCTCTGCAGGATCATGAGCCCCCTCTGTCCCCTCAGAAGCATGAGCCCCCTCTGTACCCACACATGCATGAGCCCCCTTTGTCCTCTCAGGAGCATGATCCTCCTCTATCCCCGCAGGATCATGAGCCCCCTCTGTCCCTGCAGGATCATGAACCTTCAGATCCAAATCACCCAGAACTCAGAGCACAGCAAACTTCCTGACTGCTGGGTTTTGTTCAAGGAGATGGATGATCAACTGCTGAAAATTGAAGAAGACTTTATTAAGTGTGGCTATGAGGAGAATTGTGTCAATATAAAGCTACAGCGTGCAAAGATAAAGAGGTGAGGGCCTTGTTCCCAATTCCACCTGTGGTGGAGCACCCCAGGGCCTTGCTGCCCACAGCAGGCCCAGCCACAGCCTTTGCCCCTTCATGGAGGATATCCACTGCCTCCCTCCTGAGCCCTCATTCATCCCTGTCCCTCTCCCTGCAGTCCCATGGGGTGCTGGGCAGCTCCTCCCCCTGCCCTGGCCCACCTGTCTGGAGTCACACTTTGCTCTCCTCCTGCTCCTGTCCCACCCAGGTGGGGCACCCTGCAGACATGCACACCTCCACAGACTCCAATGTGTTCACACCCCGTTCCCAGGGCAGGACCCACTCCTCCAGCAAGGCCTGGGTGGATGCTCCACCAGCCTTGGATGCCCTCGTGTCCACCCCATGCAAGTGCTGTGCAGGTGCTGTGGGGGACAACTGATCACCTTTCCTGGTGCTGTGGGATGCTCCCCAGACGTCTCCTGGGCAGACCCCTGGTTTGTAGGCAGAGGGTCAGACCGCAGGCCACATCATTCCAGCAGCTCACCTTAGCTTTGAAAGATTCTGAGAACGCTTCACATGGAAGTGTCTCATTACAGTGCCCTCAGTGCTGACGCAGTGAGCAGCACAGGCATGCAGAGATGGAGCACTCCACACTCGTTGGTACCAGAGCTGCACGTTTAACCTGTCTGTTCCTAATTCCACCTTCATGTCTTGTAAAGGTTTTGTGCCCAAAATGAGACAGACAGAGAACAAAAAGTCACACATTACTTGGAAGCGCACAACCTGATCCAGAAAGCCGTGGCTGCAGAGGAAGAGCTGTTTCATAGGATCCGAGGTTTGCTGGCCCTTCAAGAGGTGAGTGGCCGGGCTCTGTGAGCACCGCCGGCCATCTGCATGCTCACTCCCCTATGCTTCTGTGTGAGGAGCAGCCATGACCAGGTTCACACTCTCATGACACAACCAGAACACAGACAGAACCCATGAGGCCTGCACTGCCAGAACGCTGAGCATTAACACGGCAAACCACAGCCCTGAGCCAGAGTCCCAGCCTGCCACAGCCATGGCAGGAAGCCCCAGTGGGGACGGCTACCCAAGTCCAGGTGACAGAGCTGAGAGCTGAGAAGCAGGCAGCCAGACCCTGTGGGGTGGAGCCCAAGGAAGGAGAGTGCTGCACCTAGGTGGTCAGGTGCCCAGCATGTGCAGCTGAGCCTGGTCAGCACAGTTGCTCAAGCTTGGGCAGAGCGGCCTGGAGGATTGTAGGAACAGGGCAGAAGCAGTGCCTGCTCTCTGCAGCCCCCTGAGAAGCGGCAGCAGCCTGGGGTACTGGGCGAGGGCAGAGAGGGCCTGCCCTGAGCAGTGGCCAGGTCATGTAAGGAAGCAAAACCACTGCACACCTGCCAGAAAGCACATGGGCCCAAGGACAGAGAGGGTGGGAAGTATCTCAAGCCAGCACTGACCCAGGAAAAGTGGGGTGGCCACAACTGGTCAGATAAGTGGGTCCGGGGAAGCTGCTCCCCTGCCCTGCACGAGACTAGGCAGGAGGACCTGGCTCTCCAGACACTCGTGTGCCTGGCAGGAACACACCAAAGGTGACCTACTCCAGGGTCCCCAGCACTTCCCCTTCCCCTCCTCCTACCTGTCCCCCTCTGCTCTCTGGTCTTCCTTCCCTTTATTTATTGTTCCTAAATTGGTGCATTAGGGTTAGGCATAAAGGGCATCCACTGTGATGTGTCCACATGTCCACACACAGCCTCATTGGGCCAGTGGCCTCCTGCTGTCCCTCCTGTCTCCCCCTCAACCCCCACCCCCTACTCCACTCTTCCTCCTCCTGTTTTCACGAGATTCCTCCTCCTTTTATTTAAATTCCTTTTCTCTAGCTTTCACATTTGACTCTCAACTTTTCGGATCTGCTGAGTTCCATCCATTTGCCAGCAAATGCCATGATTTCATCCTTCTATTTAGCTGATAGAATTCCACTGTGTATATGCACCACACTTTATTAGCCCATGGAGGCGGGCACTGAGGTTCCCTAACTTGGTGATTGTGGATGGCACTGAATAAACGTGAGAATGTAGTGTCACTATAGTGACTCTTTTGGATAAATACCAAGGAGGGGGATAGGATAGCTGGCTCATATGCGAGTTCCATTCCAAATTTTTTGAGGAATCTCCATACTACTTTCCAAAGTGGCTGATTTTCTAAAAAGATTAAGTAAAACCTAAAATTTTTTAAAATTATAATGAAGACAGAGACAAATCTACAATTATGGTGAGAATTTTCAATTTCCTCTCAATTATTAGTGGAATGAGTAGGAAGAAAATGAGCAAAGGACTGGAGGATCTGAATCAGTCAGTCAATAGGCTCTGATAGCTTTTTATAAAGTGTCCCACCCAACGACAGTGGATGACCTTCTCTCATGTGCCCAAAGAACCTTCAACACAGACTGTATTCTGTACCATAAAACAAGTCTTAATGAAGTCGAAGGATTTAAGTCAGACAAAGCATGCACTGGCACCATAATGGAGTTAAAATTGAAATGGATGGATCCACAGATACTGGAAGCAGACTAGGGGGTGTGGGGGTGCAGTGAGGAAGGTGAAGGCTGACCTGGTGGACAAGGCCTTTCCCGGGAGGGATGAACATGTTCAGTAACAAGAGCTGAAGCTTGCACCGTGTGGTTGCCCCTGATTCTACACTTTAAAATGGTTGATTTTATGTCAGATACTTTTTACCTCAATTCAAAAAATCAAAAGCTATATATGTGGGAAGCCCCAAATAGTCGGAAATTAAAAAGCATACACTCACACAGCTATGGGCCACAGAAGAAATCAAAAGGGAAAGTGTTTGAATTCAAGGAAAAAATGTCCATCATTGCAAAGATGTTTCTGGCGCAGTCCTGGGCAGGGACCTGGGGTTTGCAGCAGTAAGCACCTGCAAAAAGAAAAAAGATCAGATCTCAGTCCACTCTCCACCTTAAGAAGTAAAGAGCAAACTAAACCCAAATGAGTAGAAGAATAGAAATTAAAAGGTCAGAGTGGAAATCAGTGAATTAGAAATCAGAAAAGAGGAAGCCTACAAAGCCAAAGCTGGTTCTTTGAAGGACCAATAAGTTAATACACTTCTAGTCAACTTGATCAGACAAAAAAGAAAGGACATATGTAGCTAATATCAAAAAGGAGGCAACGTTGCCACAGACTCCACAGAGAGTGACAGCATAGAAAGGGAATGTCATGAACTTGCAACTCAGGTGAGCAGACTCCTTTAAAGCATGACCCACCAAGTCCCTGGAGGAAAGAGGTGACTTACAGCTCTGTGCCCAGGAATCTACTCTGGATTGGGAGTACTCTCACAGAGGAGAAGCCAGGCTCAGGCGACTTTACGATGAATTCTACCAAATATGCAAGAAAAATAATACCAGCTCTGCACAGATCCTTCCAGAAAGTAGAAAAAGAGGGCATATATCCCAACTTTTCTATGAGTCTACTATTGCCCTGATTCCAAAATAGGACAAAGACATTGCAAACAACAACAACAAAATTGATATTTCTCATGAATAAAAGTACAAAAAATCCTAAACAAAAATCTAGAAAATTAAATCCAACAACATATGAAAAAGGTAATACATCATAACCAAGTTAGGGTTATCTCAGGAATAATTTTACAGTTAAAAAATGTGGTTCAGCATATTTTTTGACCCAATAAATAAAAACCATATGATGCAGGAATATTGTTTGACAAAGCCAGGCGCTGTGGAGCACGCCCGTAATCCCAGCAGCTCAGGAGGCTGAGGCAGGAGGATGGCGAGTTCAAAGCCAGCCTTAAGAAAAGCGAGGCACTAAGCAGCTCAGTAAGACTCTAAATAAAATACAAACTTGGGCTGGGGATGTGGCTCAGTGGTCAAGTGCCCCTGAGTTCAATCCAAGGTGCCCCCGCAACACACATACACACAAAAATCCATATACAGAAGAGGGACATTTCCTCAACCCAAGGAAAGGTATCTATTAACAAACTATAGCTAAAGTCATCCTTATTGACAAGACTGAATGTTTCCTTCTTTTAATTAGGACGAATGCAAGGAAGTATCTTTGTACCACTTTTATCCAACATTATTTAGGAAATTCTAGCCAATGCAATAAGTCAAGAAAAAGACAGTAAAAGGATCCAGCTTGGGTAGGAAGAAGCTTGACAGTAACATGATGGTATAGAAAATTATTTGCAATGTACTGATTAAACATTAAAGCTACTAGTAAAGCTAAATTAAAGCTCATAAGCAAATTAAGTTAAAGCTAACCAATGAATTTAATCAGGTCACAAGACAGAAGAACAATATGCAAAAATCAATCGTATATTTCTATGAACTAGGAACTATCAATCAGGTAGTAAAAATTCAAAAATAGTATCATTTATGGTAGCATTAAAAAATGAAATTTTACCCCCAAAATGTGAAAATTTGTACCGTAAGAACTACAAAGCATTGTTGAGAAAAATTAAAAGACCTAAGTGAATGAAGAACCATATGGTTCATGGATCAGAACAGTTAATTGTTAGGATGTCAATTCTCCCTACATTATCTGCAGGATTTTTAATAGAAATAGAATGAAATTAAATTTCATATGGGAATGCAAAAGGCCTTACACAGCCAACACAACTTTGGAAAAGAACAGTATTAGACATCTAATGCTACTTGATTTTAAGTCCTGTTATAGAGTTACAGGAATTGAGAGTATATTTTTAGAGTAAGAGCAGGCCAACAGATCCATCTGGCGCAGCCCAGAAGCAGGCACACACATACATCAGGGACTGGCTCCCAAGAGAGGAGCCCAAGCTGTCCACAGCAGGAAGGACAGTGTTTAAATGATGCTAGAATAACTGGAAGCATATGTCCAGAAAGCGGAAGTCCAAGTCCTACCTCATACTGCATGTAAAAGTCAGCTCAAAATGGCTTGTGGTCCTAGGCAGAAGACCTAAAGTTATAAAACATCTAGAAGAACACAGAAAACACCTCTGTGGCCTCAGATTTGGCACACTTTTTTGGGGGGGGATACTAGGTATTGAACCTAGATGCACTTTACCACTCAATCACAACCCCAGTCATATATATATATTTTTTAATTTTGGGACAGGTTCTCACTAAGTTGCTGAGGGTTTCCCTAAGTTGCCAGCCTCAAATTTGTGATCCTCCAGTCTCAGCCTCCTGAGTTCCTAGGATTACAAATGTGCACTGCCACACCTGATTGAAGATTTGTTTTATTTGACACCCAAAGCATGATTCATAAAAGAATAAATTGAAAAACTGGACTTTTCTTCAAAAGATACTGTTAAGAGAATGATGAAAAGAGAAGCCACAGATGGGGCAGGAGTGGAATATTTGCAAAGCATATCCAGAATATATGAAGAACTTTCAAAAGCTAATTAAGAAAACATGTAGCCCAATCAAAAACAAGTGAAAATAGGGCTGGGAATATAGCTCAGATGGTAAAGTGCTTGCCTCTCAGGCACAAGGCCCTGGGTTCAAACCCCAGCATCACAAAAAAAGGGAGATATTTGAACAATTTAGACATCTCCTCTAAGGGACTGTATAGATGATAAATAAGGTCATGGAAGACAAGCATCATCAGTCGGTTAGAAAACCCAGGTCATCACGGGGAGAGCCCCTGCACCTGTGAGGATGGTGGCGTTTCAAAGCTGACTACCCCAGTGGTGGCAGGAGTGTGGGGAGCTGGAGCCCTCAGGCCGTGAGAAGGGAGCTGTAGGAGTGCTTTGGAAGGCCCTTGGAAGTCCTGAGAGGAGTGAAACTTGGGCACCCCACCCCAGGCATGCCCTCCATCCAGAGGAACACTGGTGTGCCGTGCTCAGGGCACCTGGGTTCTAGTAGCCCACACAGTGGGGTCAACTGACTCGGAAAGTAATAAGCATGCGGCCACAGCATGGAGAGACCTAGAACAGCCGCACCAAGTTGGGCCAGAGGGTGAAGCCCTGTGGTCCCCTCACACTGGATGGGGCACAGGCAGCTCACTGAAAGCCCCAGTGGTTGCCTAGGAGGGAGGCTCCGGAGGCAGTGGCATGTGGAGTGGCCAGGGCCAGGGACATGGAAGGGCACCTTTGTGGCCTCGGTGGTGGTGGTTTGAGTGTGCATGTCACACTTGAGATGCTCACAGCTTCGTTCTGTCCCTTAGCACTGTTGAAGCGTGGGCTTGGGTGCACGGAAAGTGCGCAGTGCCCTGACGCCCGCCTGGCTCTGTCAGCTGCAGAACACCAACACCCCTCTGATGAGGAAGCTGGCCCGCCACAAGCTCAGCCTGGCGGAGGGGTCCCTGGACCTGCTGCAGCTTATGTGGGAGGAGGGGCTGGAGCAGCTGGAGCCACGGTCCCTGGAGAAGCTGCTGGAGACCTACCTGCAGAGCACCAGCGACTACACGTCCAGCGGCCTGGTGACCACGCAGCCCCGCACACATCCCCTCAGGGGCTGCCTCCAGCTAGTCACACCTAGGGCTCCCTTGGCTCTAGTGGGGACCCCAGCCAGCCCTGCACAGCTGTGAGCTCCCAGCATGGGGAGGAGAGCAGCCACCTGGTCACTCGAGGGCCCACCTGGCTAAGTAGACAAGGTGCTCCCTGTGCCACCTCAGGGTTGTCCCCCAGGTCTGGAGACTAATGGTGTGATAGCACCGGGCTCCAGCTGAGTGGCCAGCGGGCTGCAGAGGGACAGTGGAGGGCCACACTGCACTTAAAAAGACCCAGCGGCAGGCTGGGGTGTGGCTCAGGGGGACAGGCTTGCCCAGCAGCACAGGCCCCCGTTGCAGCCCCAGTACCGCAAAAGCAAAAACAAAAAATGAATTGAACCTGCAAGATATTTGGAAGGAAATATGAACCCTTCCATTTTACATTTGCTTAGATATCATGGAATAGGAATCAAACCAATTTGACATAAAGACGAATGAACCAAAGACAGCCCTGAAATTGAACTTGATGTTCCAGTGAGCTGCCAGTCAAGCTTATATAAGAACACTGTCTGGCCTTCCCACACCTAAGCCCTGGAGACCCCCACCCCACCTCCCAGGGCCTGTTAAGGGCTGGTGGGCTGCGCCGTGTGGTGGGCAGGTAGATGGCCGCAGAGAGGCCCCCTGACAAAGCCTCTCCTCCCCCTGAAGCAATGGTTCATGCTGAAGCGCACCCTGGCACACTCGGTGCTGGCACAGCTGGAGAGCCTGCAGCCACTGAGCGCAGGCTGCGTGGAGATCCGTGCCCGGCTCCTGGGCCTGGCCGGGAGGGCCCTGCACCTGCTGGCCATGCAGGCAGACCCTCTTCGTCCCTACTTCTGCTGGGAAGACGGCTTCTCGGTAGGTGATCCCGCTTCCCAGTCCAGGCTCTGCAGTAGACCTGGGGGTGAGATGATGGAAGGGTCTGCCCTGGTGTCTCCCCACCTCAGTCTGGTGACACACAGGCCCCTGGGAGCTTCAGAAGCACCCCCACACACCCCTCTGGCCACCGTAACAGTTACAGTGTAGGCCACAGGCCAGTGGCCCTGCCCTCTACCCACATGCACCACCCAGGGAGCCAAACCAAAGCTCAGCGCCCATTGCGCCAGTGGGCCCAGGCACCTCCGAGAAGGGCTGTGAGGACCTTTCACTTCAACCCCCCCAGGGCCCGGGAGAGGCTGCTCCCCAGGGCAGGGCTGATCCCTGGGGTAGGGGGGCTGGTCTACTCCCCAGGGCAGGGCTGGTGCTTTGGTGGGAACAGCCTGCACACTGAGGACCCCAGTGACGGCCCTGAATGCACCAGGTACCCTCCCAAGAGCCCACACAGAGGTGGTTCCTCCTCCAGGATGGCAGCCCAGGGCACAAGCCAGGGCTTCCCTGCTGACTGGCTCCTGTAGAACACCTCTTCCTGCCCAGAGCACAGCTGTGTCCACCAGGCTGAGCACCAGTGCAAATCCTGGCAGGAGACCATGAGCCTGGGTGATCCCCGAGCTTGTTTGTCCTGCACCCTAAGGGTGAACTGATGGAGCTTTGGCTCTTCACTCACCAGTGTTCATGAGCACCTACCCAGGTGCCTCTGAACGTGGTCTGTGTGAGCCGGAGTGGGTGTCTCATCCTCTGATGGTGTTAACCACCCTGGCCAGCAGAGGCTGTCCCCAGAGATGCATCAACCCACACATGGGGCCACAAGGCCCCATGAAACACACCTCTCCACCCCAGGCCCGGTCTCACCTTACCTGATCCTTCCTCCTGGCTGTTTGGCCTCTTGGGAAAGCTGAGTCTGTCTCTGGCCTCCTTCTCCTCTTCCAGGAGGCACCCTTCCTGGGAGCTCTGCTGGGGCCAAGTCTCTAGGTCTGCCCTTGGGCCATTTCACCCTCTGTTTTCTAAGCTCCGTGGGTCCCTTGCCGACGTGGGGGGTGATTCTGAGCGTGCTGTCTGACTTCAAGGCCACGGTGCTGGCCACAGGCCTCATCGACACTGAGTCTGATGGTTGTTTGGAAACTGTGCCGGGGATCCCAGTCTCCTGGGGTTGGTGAGGCTGTGTGGCCCAGTGCTGGTGGGTTTGGTGGACATTCTGCTCGCTCGGGCATCAGTGGGGCAGCAGGCTCTAGACCAAGGCCACCTGGGCCCTGCACAGCCTCGGCTTTCCCTCTACCTGGCCCCCAGGGACTGAGACAGTCTGCAGTGTCCCACTGGGACTGTGACCCTGGGCCCCACACACCCAGGGCTCCCCATCAGCCCCAGTTCTCCGGCCACTCTCCCTTGACCTGCCCTTCCCCTTCCCTTCCTTCTGTTTGTTTCCTGGCCAGACTGAGCTCCCAGAGCACAGGTGGGCACCTCAGCTTGGTGCTGCCACGCCAGCATGATGCCTCTGTCCCAAGACCAGGGTGCTTGGGCTCCCTGGGTGCCACCTCCCCACCTGGTGGCAGCTGGCAATCAGCTCAGGCCCTCAGACCAAAACCTTCCCAAGTCCACTAAACCAGGCTTGGACAAGGGCAGGCAGGCTCCGGGCGGTGGGAGGCCAGACCACGGCCTACAGTGACCCTGGGGGCCCCTGCTGACCAAGCAGGAATCCACAGTGCCCTCTGCCTCCTGCTGTGTGCTTTGTAGGTGGGCGCTAAGCTGAGCAGGCTCCGATCTCTAGAGCAAGAAGCAGAGAACAAGAGTGCCAAGGCCTTTCTCAGGGACCTGCCAGCCTTCCGAGCAGCCCCCGAGGGGAACTGCAAAAAGGGCCAGAGTCTGAGGGTATGTGCCTTGCTGCTGCCCCCCAGTGGCCTCTGTCTGCACAGCACTGAGCCTGAGCCCTTTCTACCTGCAGAGGAGGATGGTGCTGGCCCAGAGGTACCTGGCCCAGACCTCTGAGGTGCTGCTGCAGTGCCTGCAGGTAGCCCTGGACAGAGGCCTCCTGGGCCTCGCAGCTGCCGCCAGCCTAGAGATGGTGGAATGCATCGGCACCCTGGACCCTGTGGCCACCTGCCAGTTCCTGGCCCTGTCTCAGGTAGGGCTCTGCCCTGTGTGTCTGCAGCTCAGAGTATGGAAGGCGTCCCCCAGCACCCAGGGCCCTCCTGGCTGGGACTGTCATCATGGGAATAGGCTCCATCAGAGAGAAGAGCCGCAGGCCAATGGGCCTGGCCACAGCCATTGGCTGGAAGGAGGCTGGGCCTGAGGCTGCAGAGTCCAGCCACAGGTGCTTGGGGCTCAAGTGAACACACTCTGAGCTCCCCCCCAGTCCCCACAGTGGGCAAGCACAGAGACCATAGAGCATGGCCCGGAGAGGCGTGGCTGTCGGGGGAGTGTGCCACCCAGTCTGACTGCCCTCCGTCCAGCCCAGTGAGCCTCACCCCCACAGCACCTGGCTGATCTGTTCCAGAGCTGCACAGCCTCCGAGGTCATGCGGGGCATCCTGTCCACAGCCGCCGCCAACACCAGCAGCTCCCAGCTGGCAGCCCTGCTGCAGCTCCGGCACCAGCTACAGCTACAAGACAAGACTTCCACCAGCCTGCTCGCCAGCGTGGAGCAGAGGCTGGCCACCATCTCCAAGGTGATCTCCTGCACCCTGCAGACCCCCCCCGTCTGCCCCAGTGCCAAGGGGGCAGTTTTATGTCATGCAGGCTCAGGCCCAGGTTCTGCTACTGGCTTCGGGCCGTGTGGCTCTGGGAGGCCTCTCTACCTCTCTGAGCCTCGTGGCCTTCTGGCCTGGTGGGATGGTGACCCCTCACTCTGTAGGCGGCTGCGCGTGCTAGGGTGGGGAGGGTTTTGATGAGGGTGCTCCGCCCGGGGTCTGCGGGAGCCCTGCTTGCTCAGAACCCTGTGGCCACACTGTGCTGAGGGGCTCCAGAGCGGGCAGCAGCTGCCTTTCTTTTACTCACACCAGCAGCTTAATCCGAGCATTGAGAGGGAAAAGGTGAACTTCCACCCTCCTGGACACCAGGCGGGAGCACCTGGCCAGGTCCTCCTGGCCTCTTCCTACTGACTGCTTCCAGGTGCCTCCATCCACGCTTCTTAGGAGACTTGGGGCTAGATTTCTCTGCTGATGGGGTCAGGGGAGCCTCCTGTTCACTGGAGGATATTGGGCAGCATCCCTGCCCCCCATAAGGACAAGGGCGTTTCCACTCCTATCCCTACTGTGACCACGTCTCCAGGTGTTACCAATAGGAGCAAATCATCCCTCCAAGAACCAGCGCCTTCAGCCCCAAACGGAAACCCAGTCTCCTGGATCCAGGAGGGAGACGGGAACAGAGGCTGGAGGTCTGAGGCTGGCCCAGTCCTCAGAGCAAGGAGGCTGGACCTGAGTGAGCGCTGCGGGACGCCAGCACACCAGCCGGGGGCGGGCCCCACGCTGCTGCTGCCAGCCGGGCCCTGGGACTGGGGATAGGGCAGTGCTGACCTCGTGGGGAAGGCCGGCACAAGGTCATGGCATCCACAGTGTGGAGCCTGGGGCCAGAGCACGGAAGAGCACAGACCCGGGACAGGGCGGAGGAGGGCTCCATCCAAGGTAAGGCCATGGCCACCGCCACAGAGCCAGTGCATAGTCCCAGCTGCGGCAGTAGTGAGAAGTAGTAAGCTGAAATGACAACAGAAAGTGAGCCAAGCGTCCATCCCCAGTCCCAGGTCGCTGGCTAGGACGGACTCAACAAAGAGTACATCAGCACAGCCCCGGGGGTGGAAAACCAGGCTGTGGGTCCCACGGGGTCACGAGACACCAGCTGGGGGACCCAGCAGTGTCCAGGGCTTACTGGAGTCCACCTCAAAGCTTCCGGAAGGCAGTGACCCAGAAAACTGAGTGGAGACCATGGGTTCCAGCCGTCTCCAGGACACTCTGGTCCCACAAGCGTCCATAGAGGCCACCAAAGATCGAGAGTCAGATGTGCAGGTTTCAGGAACAGTATGACAGCCTCAGCTTGGACTGGAAGCTGGAATACAGACAGGAGAAGGCCCAGCAGCAGAGGAGGCTTGGGGACAGAGGCAGCAACGATGGACCTCCAGAGGGCCCAGCATATGCTCTCGCTGCGTCGTCACGAGAGCACAGGGTGCACAGGCTGGAAGCCAAGAGCCTCTAACGCTGGGGAGCGTGGGCTTCCGAACTCCAACCAACCCCCCACTGGGCAACACCAGAAAATCACCCTGGGCACGTGGGAGCAGAGAGCACAGAGACAGCCCTCAGGCAGCCAGAGAGACCTGCACGCCTCCACGGCTGAAGAAGAGCGGCCAGTCCCCGATTCGAAGGCTCAAAATAAGGGCATTAGGCAAATAAGGGCATTGTTCAGATCCTTTTAATAAAAATGCAATTGGACAATAAAACAAAAGAAAAGCTGAAAGGGGGCTCAGGCAGGGAGGAATACCCCAGACAGAAGCAGAAATAGGCAAGAGGGGATGGAGATGGGGCCAGGGCGAAGTGCTGCAGCCACAGTGGGAGGCTGCACAGTTCCAGAAGGGCAGACCGTTTAAGATCCAGCCACCCCGGGGGAAGAGGCCGCACAGCCACAGAGATGACTGTTACACCCCAAGGGTGGCACTGACACATGTGTGGCCAGGTCAGTACAATACAACCGTTGTCCACAAGATGGAAAAAAAAAAAAAGAAATGTAAAAGAGATGGTCCCCATAAAGAAGGAGAGTTCAGTAGCAGGGAAAAAGCAATATATGGGTGATCACAATATAAATTGACTAGACACTCCACCTCCAAGACAAGATAGTCAGACTGGATAAAAGAAAAACAAAGGCCAGGCACAGTGCTCCACACCTGGCAGCCCAGCTCCTAGGGAGGCTGAGCCAGGAGGTTTCGAGCTCAGGGACAGCCTGGGCAACTTGGCAAGACCCTGTCTCAAAATAAGAAGGACCGAAGCTGTCACTCAGTGGCAGACGCCCTGGGCCCAGTCCTGGGCTTCCTTTTTTTTTAGTTGTAGACAGATACAATACCTTTATTGTATTATTTTATTTATTTATGGGGTGCCGAGGATTGAACCCAGTGCCCCACGCATGCAAGACAAGCATGCTACTACTGAGCCACAACTCCAGCCCCCTGAGGTTTTTTTTAAAAAAAGAAAAGAGAAAAAAAAATCTATGTGTACGTTACTTAAATAGGCACTTTACATATAAGGACCCAGAAATGTTGAAAGTAAACGTGAGAAACACATAAATCACAAAAAGACAGATCAGATGAAAGCTAGCAGACTTGGGACAGTGCATCACTAGCACGAGGGGCACTCCTGATGGTGCAGGGGTCAGCCCAACCAGGAGTCACCGTCCACCAAGTACTGTGGTTCTGAAATGCACAAAACATGGACAGAAATAAAAGGAGTCATGGAAAACCCACAGTCTAGTGGGACACTGCAGACTGTCTCAGTCCCTGGGGGTCAGGCAGAGGGAAAGCCAAGGCTGTGCAGGGCCCAGGTGGCCTTGGTCTAGGGACAGCCAGAGCCTGCTGCCCCACTGATGCCCGAGCGAGCAGAATGTCCACCAAACCCACCAGCACTGGGCCACACAGCCTCACCAACCCCAGGAGACTGGGATCCCCGGCACAGTTTCCAAACAACCATCAGAATCAGTGTCGATGAGGCCTGTGGACAGCACCGTGGCCTTGAAGTCAGACAGCACGCTCAGAATCACCCCCCACGCCGGCAAGGGACCCACGGAGCTTAGAAAACAGAGGGTGAAATGGCCCAAGGGCAGACCTAGAGACTTGGCCCCAGCAGAGCTCCCAGGAAGGGTGCCTCCTGGAAGAGGAGAAGGAGGCCAGAGACAGACTCAGCTTTCCCAAGAGGCCAAACAGCCAGCAGCCACATCCACAGAGCATGAAGGGAGCAGATGAAGGTGACAGCAAACTGGATGCAGGAAACACTCGTGGAGCAGAGAAAACCAACATCTGCAAAGCTGGCCCCCAGAGGAGGGCAGCAAGACTAGTAAACACAGAGACCCATCAAAGGAAAAGGAGAGAAAAGACGAAATTCCAATGCTTGCAACATAAAGACAGGACACCAAAAAGGTAGCAAAGGACTGTGCACCACATCACCCCAAAATAAAAATGATTCTGAAAAAAAAATATGTAATGCTCCAGAAAAATAGAAAATATTCAGACAGAAGATCAAATAATAGAACCCATGGTCAACATGATTATGAGCCTCAACTGTCATAAAGAGACTGATTATCAATCAGAATCACCATGAAAAGTAAGCAACTCTGTTAAAGACTACCAGGTATCAATCTGCAAACATCCCTTGTATTTTTATATGCCAGCTACAAACAGTAGTGAAGTGAAGAATGGAAATTGTGTAAATTATACCATCTCATTCTCAGTGGCATCAAAAAAAAAAAAGCAGAAAGTGAGTACGTAGGGAACCATGTAGGAAACCACTCGTAGAACCTAGATAATGAAACTGCAAACCCCTTCAGGAGAAATGAAGAATGAGAGATGGAGAGAGGTCCCGTGTCCATGGACGAGGAAGAACAGAGCCAATGGAGAGGGTGCCTTGTGTGAGGTTGGTGAAGCGGAAGTCAATGGAGAACAAGGAAGTAAGTGGAGAGAGGTCCCGTGTTCACAGACGAGGACGAGTGGAACAAATGGAGAGAGGCCCATGTGCCTGGGCTGGAGGCTCCAGGTACTCAGCTACCTTTCCTCTGCGTGGACAAAGGAGGCCATTTCTCCTTCAGCTGCTGCCCTATCTCTGTTCCCCTGAGCTTTGGTCAGCAAGAATAACCTGGTTGGCCTGGTGTTATAAATACCTCACAGGTGAGCCACAGAGCTGCCACTCTTGCCCTCCTGGGCTCCCCTTGTGGGGAGCGTGCAGCTGTGCCAGGTCCTGCTCCTGGGAAGGTGACACTCCTTCCCTTGTGGGGAGAGATAGAAGCACTAACGGCGGAAGGGGAGAAGTGATTGATGGTGTGCACTGAAGGAAAAGCTCCACGGGGCCATGGAGTGGGACACAGAGGTCTCGGGGCACACCACTGGCTGGGTCCTGTCCTGCCTGCTGAAGGGCTGGCATCCCTCCTTAACAAGACAAACACTCAGGCCAAGACTAGGGTTTTACAGAATGTACTCACAGGCCCAGTTACATTTTTAATGTATTTGAGTTCATTAGTCTTCAAGGAAATGCAAAATTTAAAACCACATCAGATACCAACAGACACCCACTGGAATAGCTAAATAGAAAATGGGGGCTGGGGGCTGGGGACTGGGGTTGTGGCTCAGCGGTAGAGTGCTCGCCTAGCATGTGCGAGGCCCTGGGTTCGATTCTCAGCACCACATAAAAATAAATAACTAAAATAAAGGCATGTGTCCAACTACAACTAAAAAATAAATATTAAAAAAAGAAAATGGGGGCTGGCCTCTTACGGTGACTCTTGGTCAGCCTGGCTGAAGGTGGTACCATAATCCCGCTGGAGAACAGGCAGATCCGGCAGTCCCCAGCAGTTCTGCTGGGTTCTGGGCCCAACAGAAATGCTTCACTGTGCTCCAGAGAACACATGCTGGAGGGCTCTTCATGGCCACATTCACGGCAGTGGATCAGAGATGTGGCAGCAAAGAGGAGCCACCTGCATGGAGCTGGACATGAGCCACTGGGCAGAGGGGCCAGCCTGGGCCATCAGAAGTTGCTCAGAAACCCTGGGGAAGGGCCGGCCAGTGAGGCCAGCCATACCATCTGTTCACCTGCCGTGGGCACGGCCCATGGAGAAAGAGCCACCTTGCTTTTCAGGTGGGTTTTCTGTTGCATAGTTGAAAAGTTTGGACCTGAAGCTGCAAGCATTCACAGCTGGACTAGGGAGGGCGGCTCACACAGAGGACACAGGCCGCCCAGACCCCCTAGCCCAGGTGTGCAGCCATCTGTCACTATAGGGAGAAGCCAGGGTGCAGAGTCTCTGTCACTCAGGACCTCAGTGCCCAAGGCCCACAGTACACAGGTGTAAAGGCCTGGGCACAATGGCAGAAGCCACCCCTGACCACAGTCCAGGGCCCCACAGAGCACCCCAAGGGCTGGGCAAGGGAAGGCCTCCTTCAGGGCCACAGGGACAACTGTGTGTGAGTCTGCATGTGCATGCACTTATGTGGTGCAGGAGGCAGGACGGGGGACAGGGACTTGAGGAGGACTGGCCAGGTGCTCCATTGTATTGTTTGGGTTTCTGTACAAATCCAGTTGCTCACTCAACAAGTGGTCAGAATAGGACATTTCTGACTGGCCAATGGCTTTCCCTGCTGCCCCCTTGTGGTGGCCATGAGTCACTCCCATTCATGCAGGATGCAGGATGCCTACCGCTATGGTTGCTTCTTGTGGGAAAGCCGTGGAAGCCAGCCCCAGGTCCTCAGTGCATCCTTGCCTCCCATCACACAGGCCTGGCAGAACCTCTGTGTAACAGAGCAGCATTTCAATCTCCTGCACGAGATTCCACCCACCTACCGAGTCCTCTTCCTGCATCATTCACAAGACAGGTGAGGCCTTGTTCCCTTGGAGAAGTCCACTGGGGAGGTGTGGACCCAGCTGGGACGGCCCACTTGCAGTAGAGGGACATGGGCCCCTTCTCTGAGGGGTGGGGCCACCTCTGAGATCCATCCCCACACGGGGTGTTTGTGTCTGGTCTGGGTGGGCCTAGATTTGAGGACCTGAGGTCACTGTGGAAGTGCGGCAGAGAGCTGGACAGCTGGACAGCCTGCTCTTGCTGGTCTGCACAGAGCGTCCCCAGTGGCAGGAGAACCAGCACTGCTGGTTGAGAAGTCCCCCACGCCGCTGTGCCTGCTCTGTCTGACGGCAGCCCTTGGCCCAGCCTCTGCCCGCCACTCACAATGGGAAGGCACCTGTCGGGGTGTGTGGTTGCAGAACTGGCCCCTTCAGGCTTCCCCAGGACCCACCAGCCTTGACCCCATCTCTTGTGGGGACTCACCTGCACCCCTACATCCTGCCCCAGGACCCGTCTGTACGGCGCTGCCTACGAGAGACCCAAGTACCAGCCCTCAGCCAAGGGGAAGGTGCAGGAAGTGGGTGGTGAGTCTGGGCTTGGACAGGTGCTCTGCAGGTGGGCTGTGGGAAGCCAGCTGAGACACCTTGGGCCGCAGGCCTCTCACTTCCAGGAGGTAAATGCCTGCCCGGTGCCCCACTGGGGCAGCTGTGCCAGGCCAGAATGGGCGAGGAGGAGGCACCCAGGTGTTTCCAGGGGTCTGGAGGAACTGGCTCCACCACCCTGCTCTGCTCTTCCTGCAGCACCTGAAGCTTCCCACCATCTGTTGACCCCTCTTCCTTGAGCACCACAACCTTGCCCCTCCTGTGGCCCCGGGAGGACGGGCGACTCCACAAGGAGGAAGGTCCACCCGTCCTGCAGCTCCCTCTGGGGACAGCAGCACTAGGCTGGGTGCCTGCACAGGGAGTCCTTCCCAAGTACTTTTACAAACCTGCCTCCTCACACTCCCAGGGGCTCTGCTCAGCCCTGGATGGGGACCATGGGTGTGTCTGGGTCTCCACAGGCCACTGCAAGGTCATTCGTGTAACTGTGAATCCAGCTGCCCTCTCAGACCTGTTGGCCAGTGCCCAGCAGTTCTATGAGCAGATCCAGGATCAGATATTCAGTGAGGACACCACCCAGAACACAGGCATGGTGAGGCCCCAGGTCAGAGAACCAGGTGGGACGGGCAGGCGCTGGGCCCAGAGCCCAGGTGGGTGAGGATCGATCCACCCAGGTTGTGGTGAGGGCTCTTTCTCGAATCCTTGGACCACGTCAGACCCTTGAGGAGGGGGCCCACCCAACTATGCTCTGCAGTGCACAGGGTCATCTCACAGCGTCCTGTCCCCACAGGTGGCACCCTCCTTGGTATAAACAGAGACCAGAGGGGAATAGGGTGTCAGAGTGGCTTCAGAATGAAATTCTGGGGGCCTGGGAGAGGTGGGGTGTGTGACAGGGCAGGGTCTGCCCATGCCCTGAGCTGGGCCCCACGTCCACCAGGCTGTGTCCGGAGGGACAGGAGCCAGGTCCTTTCCCGTGGGTCTTCCCTCTCGGCTGACCTGGGTGGGGTGGGGCCCTGACAGCCCTCCTGATGGCAGGCTGTGGTTTGGGTTGAGGCAGGAATCAGACAGCCCGCACGTTGAGGAGCCGGGCAGCAGCCAGCAGAGGACCAGCGGCGTGCTGGCGCTCATGGAGGAATATCTGAAGCCGCTCTTCCCCCTGCTCAGCCTCCCTGAGTGCAGGTGCCTGCGTGGCCTTTGGCTGCTGAGCATGTCCGGCCACTTCCCTGGGGCGGTGGCAGGGCTGGGCGAGGTCGAATGGGGGCCTCCCCTGTGTGGAGTGTGAGCTGGGGCTCCGTGCATCCTCCTGGGAGCCCACGCAGAGGTGCGGGCGGGGAATGCGAGGGCCAGCCCAGCCGCCTGGAAGCCAGCTCCAACACCCAGGACTCCCCGGAACCCCACGAACAGGGGCACTGAGGGTAGCAGGGGCCAAGGGCTTCTCTCCTTGGATCTTGCTCCCCTGGAGACTCAGGTCTGAGGCCGTGGCACTGCAGAGCTCGCTGCCACTGCAGAGGGGGAACCGTGCAGAGTCCTTCTCCAGAGAGGCACTGGGCATGTGGCAGGAGGGCCTTGCCACGCCTGTGAGCCCCAGGCTGGACATGGCAGGGAGAAGGAGCTGGCCCGGGGTCCAGGTCTGGCCCCTCAGATCTAATTTGGGAGGAAATCAGGGGGGTTGGGGGATGGGCACTCTGCCAGCAGAACAGAGATCCCCCTGAGCCCTTCTCTGCTCACACTTTGTGAAGCCAGCCCAGCCCTGGCCCAGGAAGACCCCCCCCCCCACATTGAGAAAGCGTCTGCTCTCACGGCCTTGTCAAGACCCAGGCCAGAGGGGCACTTCTTCTATTCTGCGTGTGGTGTCATCTGGTTTTTAAGCCTCAATGCGTAGCTTTGGCTTTCAGAACACAGATGCCTGTGGTTGTGACTGACCCAGGGAAGTCAAAGGGCAAAGAGAAAGAGCGGAGAACGTCTGTTGTACAAGGTGTGTGGAGTGGTGCAGGCCCCGGCACCCTGGGGAGCTGGGGTGCCAGGGGAGACAGGGCAGGCCATGGGAGCTTGTGGTGCGGGGAAGGGGGGAGGTGGGCTGGGACTCACCCTCCTGCCGGGGAAAGCTGAGGTGGACCAGGAGCCCCACACAGATCTGCTGGCCTCAACTTGAGGTCCCCCGGGGCCCTGGGTGCCAGGCTGAGTGGGGAGGCCCTGGAGGCTCTGTGCACAGCAGCTGTCAAGCACACTGAGAGGGGCGCCCCACCCTGGTGCACCCCACCCTTGTGCATGAGGTGCCCAGAGCAACGGGCATGGACCATAGGCCCTGTGGGGCGGGGAAGGCCAGGGAGGGACAGGAGGAGAGTGCTGCCAACCCCACCCTAGAGAGCTCACAGGAGAGGCCCCTCCACCCTCACCTTGCCCGGCCTGGCCACTGCGGGCTCCCAGGCCTGCCCCTGTTTCCCACAGGCCCACTTCTTGTTCCTCAACCTGGGGAACATCTGGCTGTGCTCACAACCCTGTCCCAGCAGATGTCATTGTCTGCTTTTCTGTCACCCACAAAGAATCCTTGAGCAAGGACAGGGGTGGTCACTGACACTGCCAGAAAAACACTCTGGTTCCCAGAAGTGCCAGGACCCAGTGTCCTGCGAGCTGTGGACTGCGGACCCCACACCTGGGGAGGGAGGTCTGGGTCTCCAGCAGTGGTCGGGAGTCCCCTCACTCCTGGCTGGCAACAGAGCTCCACTCCAGGGGCCACCGAGAGCTGAGCCTCTACCTGGCTCCTGGCATCAGGAGGGAGGGTCAAGCTCTGTCCCAGGCACTCTTTTTTTTGGTTTTTTAAATGAAAACAGCCAATGGCAGGATTTCAGCATTTTTCAGGATTCCAGCTGGGGCCCAGTCTCTGGTCACCTGGAGAAGCTGCAGGGTCAGCAGAGTAATGTTGCCCTTCTACCCAGGACCCTCTAAAGGATCCGTCTGGGTGGAAATCCCGAGGCAGGGAGCCAGGCTCCCGGCTCCCCCCCGTGACGGAGGCTCTCTCCGGGCCCAAGCTGTGAGCCTGGCCTTGCAGTCAAACCCAGGGACAGCCCAGGGACCTGGCCATCCCCGCAGCCCTCTCTCTGCAAGCCCAGCTGAGGGCAGACTTGTTCCCAAGCCTCAGCGCCGACATGCCAGGCCAGGTGCCCAGCTGCCAGCTGCGACTTGAGGAGACTAGCCCTGGGGCTTGCCGCCCCCCCAGGAGCCTCTGTCCCCTCCACCCTTGCAGCTCAGCCTGAGGGTCCCAGCAACGTGATCCTGGTGGCAGACAAGCACCTCCTTGAACTGCCGCTGGAAGGACTCTCTGTGCTCCACGAGGGGGCGGCCTCCTCTGTGTCGCGGGAGTTCTCTCTCCAAATGCTGTTCAACCGCCTCCACCGTGAGGAGCCAGGTGAGAGCTGCCCAGGCACCTCTGGGTTTGGTTTTTAGAATGGAAATGTCCCAGGTGCTTTCCAGACAGGAGAATGCTAACTCCTGCCATAAAAAACGAGTCAATGTCGCATCCTCATCCCAGGTGCTTGGTCATTCAGAACACGCCCAGCCACATCCAGCCACTGTGTGCTGCTCTGTGCTGTGCTCACTTACAGGCGCCCGCCCACATGGGGCAGGAAGAGCTTCGCACACACCGTCCCAGGAGGTGGTGGGCAACCAGCCATGTGAAGAGACTTAAGCTAGCTGATGGCAGCTGCAGGGGAGGCCAGGGGGACGGGCTCAGCCTGGAGAGCATGGCCGTGGGGATTCGGGATTTGATGGTGCTGTCACTGGTGCTGGCTGCACAGAATCTCCTGGTCTGCGAAGGTTCTCCCGCCTGTACTCTGGGGACACGGTTGCGCACATAGCTTGGGCACATAGGTTGCGCTTCAGTATATACCACATTTAACCAAAATAAGTAGACTACACGTTTGCTTCTATGCAAGATGATGTAACAAGGACCAGATTTGCCCTTCCAACTGAAACAACTGAGACCCAGACCGAGACAAAGGAGGCCCCGGTGTGCTCCTGGGAGGCCCTAGGGTGCTCCTGCAGATTTTCAGGCCAAAGCCAGGCTGGGATGACCAGGGAAAGCCTGGGGTCCCCTGGGTGAGAGGAAGCGGCAGCTGGGATACCAGGGTGAGTGGAGTTGGGACAGGGAACCAGGGGAGAGGCCCTGACAAAGGTCAGATGAGCGTGAGCAACCTTGGCACAGGGACCCACAGGTCAGGGAAAGACCTCCCACCAGCAGACGTGGTGGAAAGGAGGGGAGGTACAGAGATACATGAGTTCTTCCTGTTTTAAAATCTTTCAAAAAGATTTGAGCAAAAACAAAGAAGAAAATAATACTGATTGAGGAGTTTCAACATGCAAGAGCACGGGAGGTAAGGGAGTGTTCCGGAATGTTCTCATTCTGCGTGTAAGGTGGAAGGATGCCCTTGAAGGTGACTGCAAAGTCAAAGCCCTGGGCAACCACTAAAGAGACAGAAACAGACACCCTGGATCTCACGCTGAGGGCCGTGCAGCGGGGACAGGCGGGGACCGGCGTGAACAGGCGTGAGCACTCCCGGGTGCTCAGGTCTTGTGCCTGGGGGAGGGGCAGGAAAGCCACCGCAGACTTGGCTGAGCAAAGACCCACTGGGCCAGGTGCCACCATAGCTGCCACAACCGCTGCCTGCGGGAGGGCGGGCGGCCAAGCCACGTGTGGAGGGCAGCTCCACGCAGCTCAGAGCAGCCGGGACACGGGGCCTGCTGCCAGTGTGGAGCCAGTGGCTGACGTCGCACTCAGGCCCACATGGCACTGCCCCTGCAGAAAGAAGGGATCTTGTCTGGGACCACGTGGAGGGGCCAGAGCATGTGGCCTAGGTGAGGTGAGCCAGGTGCAGACACCTCACTGTCCCACTGCAGCCAGGTGGCAGGGAGAGGCGGGAGGCCCTGGGCAAGGCACAAGCTCAGGGCAGGAGGCGAGGTGTCTGTTCAGCAGAAGGGCTGCGAGACTCCAGGCACTTTTAGCAAGGGGAAGCCACGGGTGGGAGAGCGCCTGTCTCAGCTGGTGGATCTGGCCCATGGGGAACATGCAGATTCAGGAGCAGCCTGCTGTGTGGATCAGAAGACAAATAAAATACACTAAGATCTTCAAGTATTGAAAAGATCAACCATGACAAAAATTGGCAAGGGTGTGGAGAGACTGGAGCCCTCTCTCGCTGCCAGGGGGAATGATAAAAGGCCCAGCCACTTTGGACAACAGCTGAAAAGTCTCTTAAAAAGTTAAACACAGGCCAGGCACAATGGCACACGGTTGTCATCCCAGCGACTTAGGAGGCTGAGGAAGGAGAATCCCAAGTTGGAGGCCAGTCTCAGCAGCTTAGCAAGGCCCTATCTCAAAATAAAACATAAAAAGGCTGGGATGTAGCTCAGTGGTAGAGACCCTGGGTTCCACCCCCAGTCCAGCGTGGCCTGCCATGTGGCCGGGCCACTGTACTCCCAGGAATCTACCTGGGGTTAGAAAGCATAAGACCTGCATGAGAAAGGCAGAGCAGCTCTTCAGCCGTGGCCCAAATCTAGAAGCCCCTGAGACCAAGTGTCCATCAAGCCAGCCAGCCAGTTGGCAGTCACTGAGCACTCCATTGAGATGGGTGGATACTCATAGCGCGTTTAGGCCGTGAGCACTGTTCAGTGGCAGTGGAAGGACGGGCGTTGGTGCCTGTGGCAGTGAAGACAGAGCTTGCGGGATCACACCCGTGGAAGAAGCCGGATGGAAAGGGGAGCCCCAGCGTGAGAGTGTCCACAAAAGCATTCCTGAAGGGCCACCGCTCCAGGCCCAGGAAGCAGAGGCACAGCTCCTGCAGGGGCTGGGGCAGCAGGATCCTGAGGGTTCGGGCCGTGTGCAGCTGGTAGCACCCTAGAGGCTCCAGAGCTCGCTCCCTGGTGGAGCTCCCGAGAAGCTGGACGGCTTGGCCCAGGCAGGGCCTCTACTCTGTGAGCCCAGGCAGGCACCGGGAGCCCAGGGCCTGGCAGCAGAGAAGGGAAGGTTCGTTTGGGTACACAGCTGTCTACACAGAGCCTCCAAGAAAATCTGCCAGCCTCGAGGGGCCATGGAAAAGGGAGGGCTGTGAGTCCTCCCACAGAGGCCTCTGCACCCAGAGGACACACTGGAGAGCCTCCTACACTATACAAATGGGCAGCTGGTGAGTCTGGGAGCCTTTGGAGGCTGGTCCTTTCTTGAGGGCCTTTCCCAGCCCTGTGAGGCTTTGCCTTTTAGAAACTATTGCTGTTCCAACTTCACAGAAATTAGAATCAGTTGTGCTCCTGCTGAGTTTGCAAGGGCTCAGCAGCACAGCCCTCCTCTCATTGTCTTCAACAGAAATGAAAAAGGAGGGCAGAAGCAGAGACTTCAAGAGGAAAAGCCCCACAAAGAAGGGTGTGAAGGTAGGGATGAGGGCAGGGAGTCGGGCAGGGGCGGCGCTGGGCCCACGGCCCCAACACGTCTGCCTGTTGTTGCAGGGCGTGCTCCGGGTCGTCCCGCCAGATTGCATCACCATTGACTCAGACGGCTTCAGGTGTATCCTTTGAGGGGTGGGTGCTCCTGGCCCGAGATCCCCCACTGTGCTCCTGCTTGTCCTTGACTGAGATCCAGTCATCATAGACCCCTTCGATGAGGCCCAGAGCATCAGTGTCATTGGTGAGTGCTCCAGGCCACCGCTCCCCCTCCAACCCCCTGGAAATGACCCCACATGGCATCTGGAGCCTCCTGCTGCTCTGAACACTGTGTGTGTGTGTGTGTGTGTGTGAGAGAGAGAGAGAGAGAGAGAGAGAGAGAGAGAGAGAGAGAACATTCCCTCTCTCTCTTTTGCTAGACTGCTGTTAGCAGTCTCTCCCCAAGGGAGGGGCAGGGCTGACCTTCCATCTGACCCCCAGTCAAGGAGGTGAGAGGGCTTGGGCCGAGCCCTGGAGGTCCCAGGGTCAGAGCCTGGACTTTGTCTCCCTCCAATTCTCCCTGCAGAGATGGTGACTCCTGTCTCTGTGACTCGGGATATTCTGGAAAGATTCCAAGAGACATACACTCTGCGGTGGTCGGGGCATCTGGGAAATCAGAACTTTCCAAGGTTCGGATTTGGGTTTCCAGTAGCCAGTCCCCAGTGGTCAAGCGCTTGTGGCACCCTCACATAGCCCCTTCTCTCCCCTCCTCTTCCCAGGTCTATCCTGCCAAGGCCCCAGGCATAGAGCTGGGGGTGGGGGGGCCATGGCTGTCCCACTTTGAAGCTGGGCCTGGAGCCCCAGGATCACACACCAGGGTGGGGTCCAGCAGGGTGCCGAGTTGACCTCAGGGTTCAGCCGGGTCTGAGCTCCAAGGCGCAGGCCTGACACCCCAGGAGCAACAAGCAGGGAGGGAGCACTGCAGTTCCCAGGCCAGGCTGCTCTGTGCCACAAGCCCCCACGCACCACCGCCTGTGGATGGTGTGCTGTGGGTGTGGGCCAGGTGGCAGGAGCATAGGGGGTGAGGATCCTGGCTCACCACTGTCTCCTATATTAAGGACACTGGAGGTGCCTCCTCCCTGACCTCCTGGGCTCGGCTGTCCAGGAAGCCCCTTCTAGTACTTTCCAGAGCCAACCCTGTCTACTGAGTGTCTATTCCATTCTAAGACGGAGTCCATGGGAGAGAAGCCACCATGGGCAATGGGAAAATGAAAATAAGCTGGGTTCCAGGGCAGATGTGGGGAGGCATGTCAAAGGCAGAGAACACACCCTGCTTCAAGATGCATCCCCAGGAGGGGCAGGCCTGGCCCAAGCACTTGGCCACACAGCACCCCCCTCTCGCCGCCCATGCAGCCAGGCAGAGTGGGAGCAGGCGCTGGGCAGCTGCAGAGGGTTCTTCTTCTACGGGATGGAGAGCTTCCTGTCCCACATACTACTGGAGAGACTGGTGGCCATGAACCTGCCGGGTGAGTGCCCTCCACCACAGTCAGACCTACCAGGACCTGCAGGTGCACTGTGAGCACACTGGGAGGCAGAGCAGAGCCCGCCCCACACCCCCTCTTCTGACACCTCCAGCCACAAGCTCCTGTCTGCAGTCAGGCCTCCTCTGCCTGGCCCTGCAGCCCTCGCTTGGCTTGCTCCAGTGTGGCAGCCACAGGGTCCTGAACTCCTGGGTCCTGCAGTCCTCAGCCCCCTCCTCTGTTTCTCAGGCCCCAAGGTCAGATCACCAGACCTAGAGGCCAGGGTCAAGTGTTGGGGTAGTGTCACCTCCAGGGCTGGGCTGCAGGATCCAGGAGGGCTGGGGCTACAGCTCTTCTCCCCAGACCCTGACCAGTCTGAAGGTGGGGCTTGGAGCCTGGCTGTTTCTCTCACCATCCACCATTAACAGAGGGCCTTCCAGGTGGAACCCTGTGCCCTGGGTGCAGAACTGGACTCCAACAGAACTGCAGGAGCGGTTCAGCAGGAGGGGAAGGAAGGACACTGTCTGTTGGGGGGAGGTGGACTGAGAGGAGTTCCCGGGGGCACAACCAGGTGACAGGCACGGCCCAGTGTCTGGAGCATGTCTGTGGGTGCAGTACCACACTCCACCCACACTGAAGGGGTGCAGCCTACCACAGGACACCAGGCTGGACACCCCTCACACGGAGGGCTTGCAGCTGCCGGGGTGCCCATGGGGCTACCCATTGCTGTGCATGGACCGCAGGCGGCCTTTTCAGGGACCTCTGGAGTATCCCTTCCTGCCCTCATGAGATGTGCTGGCCCACATGTGGCTGCATGGCCAGCTCCTGGATGCTTGTCCCACAACAGGGTGCCCATGGCCACCACAGTTGCCTGGTGCCCAAGTCTCCTTTCCAGCCCCCATGGCCTCTGGGCAGGCACCAGGAGACGTGGGTGGGGCCAGCAGAACCCCCACCCCTCTAAGTTGTCACTGGGGCCTCAGCCACAGGGAGCACCTGGAAGCCCATTCCTTATCCCAGGCAGGGGTCCAGGCAAGGCCTTTTGGAGGGCCTGATTCCAAGTGAGATGGTGCAGGAAGTAAGAAACACTTTGCACCAGGCCTGACAGAGGCGGCCTGAGAAACAGCCCCGAAGTCCCTCTCAGCCAGGCCTCGGGGGCAAGTGGACAGCCATCCCCTTTGCATCCATGGGGGTTCCTGCCGACGGTCACGCCCAGCTGCACTCTGGACTCTGGCACCCATCTCAGCGGGCACACCTGCCCAGGGTGACTGGCTGTCGTCTGTGTCCTCTAGTGACTGCCTCACCTCCCAGAATGTCCCATGTCCCTAGCCAGCTGAGGCCTCTGATCAGCCTTCATGGCCCTCCCTGTGGCCTCCTCTACCACACACCTAGGGGAGAACCCCAGGCAAGAGCTGGGGCCTCTCTGCACTGGTGAAGGCCGGAGCCCTCCATCACTGTGGAACAGCAGAGCTCCAAGCCCCTTAGGAGGCAGGGGCCATGCTGCTGGCAGGGAACTGCTGGGGCCAAGGGCCCATCCCCTCCTCCTGGTGTCTGGCCTAGATGTGGTCAATGGGTCTCTGAGCAGGAAGGCCTGTTGGATGGCAAGTCCGAGCCTCAGGCTGATGGTCAGTGTTTCTGCAATCTTCCGGGGTTCTCTGCTGGCATGGCCCTTGGCCGTGGCTGAGCCGGCCCTGTTGTGCCTGCAGACTGCCAGATGATGGTCCTGCTGCACCTGACACGGTCCTACGAGAGCCTGCAGAGGCACAAGGAGGTCTCGGAGAGCAAGAGGTGCCTGGAGTCCCTGCCCACGGGCAGGACCTGGGGTGGGGCAGCACATGAGCCCAGCGGGGAGAGTGCCCACTGGCACCGTGACGGGGCAGGAGGACACCGTATTCCTGTACCCGACACAGCAGAGCTCCACGGGGCTCTGGGGTTCCAGGATGTGCTCCCATGCTGCCCCCGCCAAGGCCCCGGGGAGTGGTGCAGGAGGCAGTGTCTCGGGCAGTGAGGGTGGCGAAGGGACTCTCCAGAAACCTGGGCCTGGCCACAGCTTCAGGGCCTGCTGAGGGGGCGGGGACGGAGGAGCAGCAGCTGGGAGGACCCGTCATCCAGAGTTGCCCACCTCAGGGCAACCTCCCACCCTCTCCAACCCTCACTCAATGCTGGGTCCCCACAGCACCTCACAGCTGTCCTTGGAGAAGCCTGTCCAGACTGCCATCCTCCTGAGCCTGGTGGGGGTCCAGAGCATCGTGGCCAACCAGTGGCCAACATCACTGCAGGACAATGCATTGCGGGCCAGCATCCTGTGGGACAGTGAGTGGACACCTGGCTGTCCAGAGCCCTTTGGGGTGCCCTGGAAGCCTGCCAGGCGTCCACAGCCCATCTGAGGGCACTGCTCTGCCCTAGATCTGCTGGCACTGGGCAAGCCGATTGGGAAGACCGTCCGGCTCCTTCAGAAGATGGAAAGCAGTGAGACGGCTGAGCCAGGTAAGGCAGCACCTGTCCACCTTCCTCGCCCCTCCCTCCTGCAATTCTACTCCCCTCCCTGCCTCTGTCATTGGGCTCAGCCACCTGGGCTGGTGGTGTCCTTGGAGCCCTGCAGGGACAGGTGCCCCTGCCTCTGCTGAGGAAGTGGGTTTCTGAGCCAGGAGCTGAGCACCAGAGAGAGACCGAGCTGTCCTGCAGGATGCTGCTGCTGCCTGCACAGCGGGCAGTGCGAGCTGAGGCGCTGCACCCTCTGCAGAGGAGGGCTGGCGAGACCCAGCACAAGCCCTTGGGGAAACAGGCCAGCGCTGGGCTGCCACTTCCTCTCAGCATCACAGGCATGAAGTACAGAGCTGGAAAGCCAGGGATGCCTGCGGTTCCCTACACCCAGGGCAGGGACAGTCAGCCCAGCCATGAGACGAAACCTCCAGGACAAACCTCGAGGCTTCTGAGTCCCCACAGCCCCCCAGCATCATGGGCACAGTCTCAGGAGGGGACAGGAAGTGACTGCTCTCGCAGATGAGATGAAGCCCACCTATCAGAGCAAGCAGACCCTGATGCCAGCATGTGGAACAGCAAAGAAACGTTTCACATGCGGATGCAGCGAGATCAGGAAACATGCAGGCTAAGCTTTGAGCCACACACTAGGGGTGACCTACCCTGACCAAGAGGGTTACCCCAGAATGATCACAGCTGGCGGTGGCCCACATGAGCACCCAGAAGGCAGTTAGTTGTGAGATAGTGTGAAGCCTGGCACAGTGAGTAAATAAGGGAGTGAATACGTGAGTGGGCGAGTGAGTGAGTGAACAGGCGAGTGGGTGAGTGGGTGAGTGAGTGAACAGGCGAGTGGGTGAGTG